GTTTTCAGTAGTAGCAATCTTTTATCATTATTTGTGATAGAGGATTTCTGCCAAGAAGATAAGCTAATTTTTGCCTTTATTAGATAGTCAGGAAATCTCACTGGCTTCATGTTAAAACTCTGACCATACTCCTTACCAGATTTCCTCCTTGATCTAGCCTTATATCCTTCCCATAAATTTTAGGAAATCGGTCTACTTTCCTCTGTCAAATAAAATTACAATTTAGTTTAAAGATCCTTTACTTATTTATTTTCTTGAGAGAGGTGCTTTCACTGTGTTGCCCAAGCTAACCTCAAACTCTTGGGCTAAAGCAACCTTCCTTTCCTAGGCTTCCAGTTAGCTAGGGCTCCAGGTATATGTCACGACATTTGGCTTTAAAGATCTTTATTGGCTTCAATTTTGATTCTAACATCAGGAAACACTTAATTCCATAAGGTAGAATAAATGTTCTCTGATGAGCTGAGCAGAAGAGGTTGGTTTTATAGGCAGAAAAATGCTGAAGAAAGCAGAAACAAGAAACTAAATAGGCTGGGGTTGTGGCTCAGCAGAAGAGCTCTCGTCTAGCACATGTGAGGCCCTGGGTTCAATCCTCAGCACCACATAAAAATAAATAAATTAATTAAATAAAGGTATTGTGTCCAACTACTAAAAAAGAAAAGAAACTAAAGTGGATTGGTAAGGCAGCAACAACAGGAAGGGAGGCAAAACAATAGGAAAATAACTGGTTACTACCCGGGTACTTTACCATCAGGTTATCTTTTTCTGTGAAAGAGCTAAGGCAGAGGGAATTTCATTAATAATTCTGATTTATCAGAAGGAAAGATAAAGAGCTTAGTTTCAACTTGTGAGAGTATACCATAGCATAAGTGACTCCATGTTGATTTTTAGTTTAGACTGTTGGGGCTTAGTAAAGGAGCTTAGTCCAAAACAATGGCCTTCTATAATTTTATTTAATACCTCTCATCTTTAAGGTTGTTACTACAAATAATTTACTGGATTTTTTTTTTTCTTTTGAGGCTGTCCTTAGTCTCTTAAGTTCTTGCCACTTCATGCAGTAGCCAACTTAGGTATATTAGAATGTTTTTGTTTCAAATGCTTTATTTTCATCATTTTGGAGAGTAAATGAAAGTTACATATAGGGTAGTTGAAGTTCATAACATCTTATTGTCCCAAGTTAGTTTCTAACCTACTTAGATGCTTACCTGCTGCTTGTCGTGTCCCTTTCCCTTTCCCAGGCTCTTTCTGGAGGAGAGCATCTTAGTAGCTGGTAGGCCTGAAGGGAGAAAGGTAGGCCATACTTATGATTTCATTGAGATTGTTCAGGGGCTGCCCTATTAACTGGGCAATAGCAGTTCTTCACAGAATCCTAGTTATGTTTAGGAAAAACGCACTCCTCATATTGCTTCTGTTCCTCTTTTACTTCCACTCAAATGCTTTCTGATATGCTTTCACTGTCAGGTGTGAATTTCCACCGGGGAGTACGCATTTTTAACATATACTCAAAACAGTACAGCCAAATCAACTTATCCCTTTAACAAGTAAGCTTTTTATAACTTTTTATTTGTTCAGAATAGATTTGGTAAGTTGTCAAGAATGCCAAAATGATCACAATGTATATAGCACTGAGTATTCTGGGGAATGCAAATAAATGAAGTATAAATCATATCAACAAATTTGCTCAGCACATAAAAGAGAACTCATCCCTTCAAATAGCATATGCCTCATTGAAATGAATTAAGTATATGAAGCAATCAGAGAATATGATAAAATTCTAAATTATATAGTGGCAGCAACTACTTAGAGTGTTACCAGAGGGAATTTTCCTAATCTGTACTCAATTAATCTCTAAGAGCAGATTTTCAGAATTGGTTCTTGTTGAATGTATTTTTGTTTGGGAATAAGCAAGGGCCTAGAACTGTACTTAGCTATCTTTGGGCTCCATCTCTAGGAATGTGGAATCAAATGTTATTTTTTTGTACCCCCCAATAGAGTAAAAGAAATGCAATATAGCAAGAACATGAATAATTTAAATATACTTGGGGTTTATAGATTCTTGAAATCTCTGATGAGGAAATGTAATCTTACATATTTGATTTGGCTGTACTATTTTGAGTTAAGTTTAGGGATAACTTTTAGAGGTCGTTTTAGAATTCTAGCCCTAAGTGGGACACAGTGGCACAAGACTATAATCCCAGCTACTCAGGAGGCTGAAGCAGGCAGATAGCAAGTTTGAGACCAGCCTTGGCAATTTAGTGAGACCTGTCTTAGAATGGAATAAAATATTTAAGAAAAGAATTTTAGCCCCAAGTGACATCCTTTGTTTAGCCATAAGAGGGCTCAGTGTAACCCCATGATGCAGAAACTAGGAACTGTTGCTCTATGTTAACCTTGCTTACCAGTGACATTTGAGATGAAAAACCAAACCAAAACAAAACAAAAAACCAAAACCCTGTATAATCAGAGTTGAGCTGTTTCTGTTGCAAAAATGCTGCTTCCCTTCATTCCTGGTAATTTTCACTAATCTTTTAAGGAATCATCAAAGGTGATGAATTTGAGAATAATATCAGTCAAGTCTCCCAAAGACTGGTACTGTGTTTCTCAAGATTTGTGATGTTTTGCTTTATTTTCTATACTATTTTTTGTGGGAACCATGGTAGCTTCCTGATTTTTAGAGAACTAGGACAGAGTTCTAGAAAACTCTATGCTTCTGTACTTCTACATACTCTCCAGGGAACATTTATTTACATAACAAATTAATATGGATAGGAAGAAGAATTCCCCACTTTCTCCGCTCTTAACTCTACCCACATGAGCAAAACACATACATGTTCATGCCTAAGAAGAGGAAAGCACCTTTTGTGTTTATGGTCTTAATAATAATAATAATAATAATTTTTAGCAACTAGAAACTATTTCATAAAGTCTGATTTGTATTTAGGGTACCTGGATTCAAATAATAACATATATCCTTGCTATTTATTTATTTATTTTATTTTTTTGCTTCTGTAAATAAACTTTTATTAGAACACATAAGGTTAAACTCATTCACTTACAGGGTTTTTGTTTTGTTTTGTTTTGGTACCAGGCTTTAAACCCAGGAACACTTAACTACTGAGTCACACTCCGAGCCCTTTTTTATATTTTATTTAGAGACAGGGTCTTGCTGAGTTGCTTAGGGCACCGCTAAGTTGCTGAGGATGGCTTTGAACTCACAATTTTCCTGCCTTAGCCTCCCAATATCCTTGCTATTTAAACATCATCGGAAAGAAATTTTTAGAGTTCATGCCATTAAATTTGTACAATCATGCATGTGTACACTAGGCCAGTAATAAGAACATTGGGTGCTTGTTTTGTTTTCCAGTGAGAATTTTAATGTTGTCTTTAAGATTCATGCCAGGCCTGGTGGCACACACCTGTAACCTCAGCAACTTGGGAGGCAGGAGGATCATGAATTCAAAGCCAACCTCTGCAACTTAGTGAGGCCCTAAACAACAGAGCAAGACCCTGTCTCAAAATAGAATATAAAAAGGGGTGGAGATGTGGCTCAGTGGTTAAGCATCCCTGTTTTTAATCCCTAGTACCAAAAAAAAAAAAAAAATTCACAAGTATAGTCCACTTTCTAGGTAAGCAGGCTACCAAGGAGCTACACCCATAGCCTTGAATATGGTCAGCTTTCTGTCAATAGTGTTTTTTGCCTGCCTACAATCACACTATAATCTAATGTACTAGGGAATTGGTGTATACTGCTGAGGGATATAAGTACATAAAAGGAATTGTTTTTTCCTCTGTTCATGTAAAAAATTGATTTTTACTTTCTTTATAATATAATGTTTATAGATAAGGTTTGTGTTTATTTCCTTGTGAATGTGGAGAATGTTAACAAGAATTACTAGATTTCTAACTTTTAACCTTTTGGAGGAATCTTTTAAATTTTTTTTATTATTATTTTTTGCATTACAATTCTTAACACACCTTTTATACCACAATTTATCATATCTCTGATTGTATATAAGGTATGTTGACACCAAATTCACATCTTCATACATGTATTTTGTATAATGATGAGGGTTTTGGAGGAATCTTAATTGTTTATTTTATTTCATGTATCCTGTTCCCTGTCTTTTGTATCCAGAAGTACCAGAAGTACTCTGTGGCCTATCAATATTTTCTTTCTTTCCTTTTTTTTTTTAAACTTCTAATTATAGAAAAATTTTAAAAATATACAAAGTCACCAGAGCAATGTGATGATCCCATTTTATATCCATTTCTCTGTGTTTGTTTGTTTGTTTACAGTACCAGGATGGAACCCAGTAGTGTTCTACCACTGAGCTACATCCCCATTCCTTTTTGCTTTTTGAGACACAGTCTTGCTAGATTACTGAGGCTGTCCTTGAACTTGTGATCCTCCTGCCATGGCCTCCTAAATCACTGAGGTTATTGGAATAAAGAATAAAGAAAAGAGGAGCTGTGGTTGTAGCTCAGTGGTAGAGCACTCACTTCGAATGTGTGAGGCCTTGGGTTCAATCCTCAGCACCACATAAAAATAAAATATATAAAATAAAGGCATTGTGTTCACCTACAACTAAAAAAAATAATATTAAAGAAAAGAGGTTTATTTAGCACACAGTTCTATTTGTTCTTGACATAAAATGCAGTTCCCGCTTTGTAGATGAAGGAATGAAGATTCAAGGAGGCTGGCTTATGATTTGCCTAAGTTTTCCGCGACTGAAATTTATAACTTCTGACCTAATCCAGTACTCTTATCCCAGCACCTGAGAATGCCTAGCATACTAGAGTTCATTGAATTTCTTTTGTATATCTTTTGTTTGCAAGTTTAGGAAAACTGATAGATATAAGAAGCTTTTTCTTGGTGGAGATAGCTAGTAGGGACATCTCAATATTAGTTTTATTCCACATAAAGTTAGATCACTTTGAAATATGTACTAGTAATTGATTTGCTCTTTTTATGTGGCTTCTAAAGAATTATAAAAATTATTTTAGTCCTTATAGTAGATCAGCTAATGTGGTTATAAAGTTACTGTAGTTGCCTTTCTGAAAGCAAATACAGTACTGAGTATATTAGTCCATTTTGAGTTGCTTTAACAAAATACCTAGTGCTGGGTGAAGAATAAAGAAATGAGGTTTATGTAGCCCACATTTCTAGAGATTCAAGAGCATGGCACTGATATATGGCTTTGGTGAGGGCCACTTGGCAGATGACATCAGAATGTGTCAGAGTGATAGAAATACACTTAGATTTGTTGTTTTTTAAGAGACAGGGTTCCTCTATATTGCCCAGGCCTGCCCTGAACTCCTGGGCTTTAGTGAGCCTTCAGCCTTGGCCCCCAAAGAACTGGAATTACAGGTGTTTGCAGCTATGCCTGGTGAGAAATGTACCTAATAAAGGGATTCAAGGGAGATGCCAAGCACCCTTATAAAAACCCATTCTGTCAGGTACTAATGCAGTCCCAAGAGACCTGCATTCATCCCTTTTGAGAGGGGTGCCCCATTACCTAATTACCTTCCAGTAGGCCTCACTTCTTAAAGGTTTTACTACCTCAGCATTGCCACACTGAGGACCAAGCTTCCAGCTCAAAACCTTTAGGGACATACTAAAACCATACCCAAAGCACATCCCTGAGTGTCCTAGATTTACATTTTGGAATTCTGCTTATAATTTTCAGAGCCCTTAGGACCCCCTGACAATAATTCCTAGAAATTCTGTCTTTGGGTGGTTTTAGCAGCAGATGTCTGTCATCACGTACATTGTTGTGGTCAAGGCTATTACAGCAGGTAATCTGAACTGAATGGTTTGGATGAAACTGTACCAAGGTAAGGAATGTTTATGACTTTTCCAAAGCAAATTGGAGTTAAATTTTTTGGACTGTAAATCTGCTTTTGCCTCATTGTCTGATATTAGTGTGTTGTTTGTTTTATTTTAGTGATGTCCTCGCATTGCCCATTTTTAAGCAAGAAGAGTCAAGTTTGCCTCCTGATAACGAGAATGAAATCCTACCTTTTCAATATGTGCTTTGTGCTGCCACCTCTCCAGCAGTGAAACTTCATGATGAAACTCTGACCTATCTCAATCAAGGTTAGATGCTTCCTCAACCATTCATATTAGTGCAAACCTGCTGAATACGTTATTTTATTAGAAACATTTTTAATGTAAAATTTAGATATTTCTAGAGTGTCCTGTCATATTAGAAGTTTTGCTTAAGAGATTTGAGTTTTAATATCACATTTGATATATATGACTGGCTCCTTTTGTCTTCCTGTCTGTTTTTAGTTCCCAGCTCTCTCTTTCTAATCCATGTTCTAATCCATCTCCCCACTGGTTACTATCTGAGAAGTATTATCCTATCCAACTCTACTATTTGCCAGTTATGTGGCCTTGGACAAGTTGCTTAAACTCTTCCAGTTTTAATTTCCATATCTGTAAAAGTGAGATTGATAATGCCTTAGAAAGTTAAATAAATTACATGAAAAATTATGTGAAAGTGCTTACCACAGTGCCTAGCATATAGTAAAGCCTTAGATTATCACTGATTCTTATGTTACCTGTGTATACAGCCAACTGAATTTTATCCTTTCTGAACCTAGATAAGTTTATTTGTGAAAAGTACCCTATGTAATTATTTTTTTTTCTAGGGCAGTCTTATGAAATTCGAATGCTAGACAATAGGAAACTTGGAGAACTTCCAGAAATTAATGGCAAGTTGGTGAAGGTAAAAGAAAAGGAGTAAATCATTCTTCTGCACAATATGCTTTTACTGACCCTTTTTGATTGATTTTTTTCTTTCTTTCTTTCTTTTTTTGGTCTAATATTCTTTTGTTTTCATTAAGAGTTTAATGGTTTATCTTATCGGTTACAATTGGCTGGAGGAGTGTGAAGCTAGTGTATTTTTTCTTTGGAGTCAGATTAAGCTCCCCCTCTTCACATGTTTTTTTTCAGAGATGCAGAAGGCTTACTAGTTCATGTCCAGGGTAGTCCCGTGGCTCAGTGAAGTTCTTTTGGGTGGAGTAAAGTAACCTCCTTGACGGTGTGTGTGTGTGTGTGTGTGTGTGTGTGTGTGTGTGTGTGTGTGTGTGTGTG